ACTGTACCGACAAATGCGAGACCAATATTGGCCAGCCCTTTAGCTCCATTCAATGTTGTGAAAAAATTATCAGCAACAATCGTTCGTCCACTGTGACTGTAATTTTTCGACAATTGTATCAAAAAATTTTCGCCTTGATTCACCTCACGCTCTTTTCCTTCTTTGCCTGTGTATAATTTACCTTGCAATAGATATTTTGTCATTGAATCGCATACCCACCAAACTTTTATTCGATATGTAGCTGGTTTTGATGGAATAAACTAGGTGAACTTAATTTTACCACAATATAGAAACAGCTGCTCGTCAATGGTTACGTTTTCATGCGGCTCATAATTTTTGGCGAGGTTTTCGTTCAAAAAATTAAATATATCGGGCCAATGCAAGGAATCGTCTATATGACATAGCAGCACGAAAGATGGGCAAAGCATCTGAACGCCATAAGAGTGCTGACTCTTGCATATTATTGTTTGTAACACCAGCAGCAAAAAGTATACTAATAAATGCATCAAGCTCAGTACTAGTCAAATCAACCCAACCTCTTGGCTTTGAATCTGGATTTTCTTCATTCCATTTTTGAGTAGCAATTTTTGCATTTCGATTTGTTTCGGTAATAATAATGAATGAAATATTGTATTGTAAAAAAAAACTTTTGAATACCTCAATCGGAACCGATGTTCAAAGTTTTGGACAAGGACTGAATCGCATAATATTATGCTTATCAGAATCATACATATATTCATATGTTTCCATACAAAATATACACCAGGTGTCGGACCGAAGGTGTATTTTAAAATTTTAGGAGGGTACCTAGGAGCACAATTCGCTATCTAAATTTTAAGTATGTTAAACTTATCTCCAAAAACGAAAAAGGGCTGGTCAGACCATGGTGTCGGACGGAGGGTTATGTGAAGTAAATTGTAAAAGTTTGTGCAAGTGATTGTAACTAGTAAAGTGCATTGTAATTGAATTGTGAATTACTGAGTAAATAAAGGACATTTGATAAATTCTTCATAACGAAAGAAACTGCAAATTAAGTTGCCGATTTTATTTAACAATCCAGAGATCGTACCCGAAGGATTCAGAAAATCATCGAGGTTGGTTCAGCAAAGTCGTAACAATTGGTGTCGGAAGTGGGATTGTTAAATAAATCCTAAAGGATAATATGTGCAAAATGGTAAAGATTCAGGATTTGACGATACCTCCTCTCAAGAGGGAGTTGGCAAAGCGAGGATTATCGAAAACTTGACAGATATATATTCCTGGAATGGCATAGTCAGGAGCTTAATGCTCTGTGGATGTGAAATTAGTGTCCACTACTCCTTCTTGATGGTTATACCTGACCAAGTCACCGAAATGTCTTACTAGTGTCGCTATTGGCTCGAAATTATTATGTTTTGGCTTTTTGGAACGAGCTTAGTTAGATAAGATTTTGTAGTTCGCAACGATTAACTGCTGGTTTGTTATATTCCCTTAGTTCACTCAGATGCCTTCCGTCTGATCATTGCTTATCTTCCTGATTAAAAAGAAGACTGGGTACATTCATTCGTAGTAGCTTCTGGTATCCTATTGTTGGTACCCTCCAAAGTACTGTTGATCAACTAATGACTGGATGCAAAAATAGTGCCTTCATCAAACTCCGTAATAAGTTCCGAAGTCCGATAACTCATCGTCGTGAAGCTTGTTTTCCCTACTACCGTTTCGATTGTCGTCACAGTATCAGGGGATGTTGTTTGTGTTCTTGCTGTTTAGGTTCATTTCTGGTCTTATGAGTATGCCGGAAAGATTGCTCTCACGTAGAGAAATAAAGGCAGGATTGACGGGCGCGATGAATGCAGCTACAATCGCGTAAGCGATGCATGTTTCAGTAACATTTGTCAGCTTTGGTAAGAACACCTCCTTTGGAAACTTAAGCCATTAAGCAGGCACTCGCCGAATGCAATCGTGCCATCATTTAGTGGCTTTGAATTATACAACTACTTGCGGACAGATGTCACTACCAACGCTTGTTGTAAAAGGAAAACTATGAAAAACAAAGTAAATAAACAAACAAACACATAGGTATATTCTACTTGGGTAAAAAAAAATCAACTTTAGTATTAAAATCTAACATTTAGTAAATTTTGTCACTCTTTTCTTCGTATTCTGAGTTCATAAGTTTCGTTACCGGCGAAAAAGGAAAGAATCAGCTGTTTGATACTTTTTTTTGTTAATTTGAGAAAAAATATAAACCAAAATATATGGGCATATTTTGCTTATAGAATTCATTGAAGATGAAGAAAAAATATCAATAAGGTGCATGTTAATAAGTTTGCGAGATAAAAATTACTTCTTAAAGTGCATGATAGCTTTTCATTCAGCATTTTCGCCTGTAGAAAGCAAAGCTTACAAACGAATTAACACCTAATGAAATTTTAATTCTTAATTTTTTAAGTAAACAATTTTTTAGACAGAAAACATCCTTGCCGTTTTATTTGAGGTTTCTTTCAACAAAATATTTCTTGTGCCATGTGTCGTATCCGAAATGCGTTGGAAGCAATTGTCTAACCGCTATGAGCCAACTTCCTTCTTCGCGAGCACTGCACTATATTTCAAATATGATTTTCAAGGTGAAAGCCGGAAAAATTTGCTTCCCAACAACAAATGGAATACAAGCTCAAAAAACAAAAGAGTAAAAACTTTTAATGAAACAGTTAAATAAATTTGAAATGAATATATTTGCAAACTTGATTCGTAGTTTGTAATATTGCTGAAACTGACGTATTACGTGTGCATTATAGCACTTCCAGGAAACGAGTCAACGAGTCCAGCAAGCCTATATACAGTCAAAGTTTAAATACATGTATAAAAATAAGCATTTTAGAGTAAATGTAAAAATGCAGTCTTTTAAAGTAGATAATTAATCATCAAATCGAAATTTTTAATTCTACTTGTATAAGGTAGATGCAAAGCAAACCTCTTGAAGCACCAGACCGCCGTTTTTTAATATTATTCGAGTAAAAATTATAAGGACTATTTCTTCCAGAGTGATTTATTGAGCTGTGTTAAAGTTTCCGTACACAACTCGTCGTTCGATCGGCTACGATATTCGCCATTGCCAACGTACAGAAGATCATAAAGCACCTCAAAAACTTCCACCGCCTACACGTTAAATGTTGTCATCATCCTTATACAGTGGAATGCTCAAATCGTACATGCTTGAACTCCGTATGCTTCCAAGTATTATTTCGTCGTGTTCATCTGTGGCTATATTCATTTCAAAGGGACTGTTATTTCGCATCGTTTTCAATAGATGTCATTTGTTTCAGCGTGAGCAAAAATTTGTTTCATTCATTTGAAAATGTCAAAATTTGTACCAGATAAAGTGTTTTTGCGAAGAGTTCTTCTTCATTACTTTAACATGAAGAGAAGTGCTACCGAAAACCATCATATTTTACTGCACGTTTATGGTGACCATGCTTTAGCCGAACGACCGTGCCAAAAGTGGTTTGCACGGCTTAAAAGTGGCAATTTCGACTTAGAAGACGAACAGCCAAAAAAATTTCAAGACGAAGAAATGGAGACATTGCTTGACGCAGATGCATACCAGGCGCAAGAAAACTTGCAAAAGTATTAGGAGTTGATCAAGCAACCGTTTCCACACGAATTAATGCATCCACCCAATATAATTATTTTTTATTTAGTTCTTAATAAAATAAATAATACCACGAGTCCAAAAAGGAACAAAAGAGGAAAAAGCGAATATAATGTACTTTGTTTTGAACTTTTCAGCAGCTGCACTGTTTTCAATTTATAGTCGTAAACCTCTATTACGTATGATATTACGTCAAACAAAAAGTTCATTTGGTTTTTTTTAACGATTTTTTCAAAATACGATAACTTTGTTTATATTTGTCCAAAGTCAAATATGCGGATTGTGGCCAGACGTTCATACACCGGAGTGAATGCCACATCAAACTTGCAATCAAAATTAAGTTAAATTTTCTAATTGCGGCCGCCCCACGGCAGAGAATGTCAACCCCTCCGAAAACCATCTGTTGGAAACACATCAAGACACAAAAACACAAATTGGATGAGGAGCTCCGTAGTGACTACAAAGTGCCGTATATATACTGACCTACTCGCTTTCGTCCTTGTCCCGTCTATCCCATTTCTTTGACAGTGATGATGTTAGCCTTTATTCTAACCAGGATATCAACAAGTTGAGCAGCGGCACATCCCAATTAAAGAAGCGAGAATTCCAAAAACATGATCCTTTAAACGTTTGAGGGGTCGTCATCATAAGAGGGTCTCTCATCCGAGGCAAGTAAACATTTTTCACTGGGGCTGTATTCCATGTGGCGCAATCTCGCTGGCGGGAGAGTTAAGATTTCTACACATTTATAGAGCGATCCGCCCGCTCGCAGTTATACCTCTGGTGAACAGACGCTTCAATGACATCAGCAGACGCTTAAGCCGAGTAAGTCGGAGAGGCTCCACTTAAGCTTCTTCTCTTTTAGCCAAGACGAAAGGTCCACACGGTTTCGTTACCGCATCTTGCACAAGGTTTGTTCAAGTTTCCGGGGTGCACGGCGTGGACGCAAGAGTAGGAATTGAGTATAGCCCCGAGATTGTAACAGCATACCCAGAAACTTTACTATACTCCATTACATAGAAGATACAGACACTTAAAAAGAAGCGGACATGACTAAAAAAATATACGAAATCGTCGGACGCAGTCAACAACGCGCGTCAGCCGAACAAACACGACGTTACGTTCTGCGCAGGCGACAATGGCAACTGACACATATCTGTCAGCGCATTCACAGAAACAAATAAGGGAAAATTTTCCCAGGAAATTTTAAGCATCAAGTTGCAAGGATGCTGTGTTTGCGCTTCTACAAATACAAGAATCAGGCATCCACTACATGGAGGAAAGGCTGGAACTAGATGAAGAAAAATTTTCAGGGAAGTTCAACTCCCAAAAAAATAGTTTTACTCTGAAATGCTATTAAAAAAGAAGNTTTTTTTTTTTGTTTTTCAATTTCATTCCTTAAACTAAAGGTTCTTCTCGACTCCCTCGCCGCCGTCTAATAGGGTGAGCAGCCGGAGATCACCCATCCAAAAATTGTGTTCTGGGCAGCTGGTCGTGTTGGGGTTGCTGGCATAAGCCCTGGCCGGAGAATCATGCCTTATACGTCAGCACCCAAAATCAGCGAAACCGCGCTTGACTTGTAAAATTTTGGGTCGGCCAACCGTAAATTGTCGAACTCGTCGACGACTCTTGAGTCCAGTGTGCGTGCAGGCGTGGTCTTTATTAGGCTAGCCACTACTCTAGCTTGTAGGCTGATACTATCACGCCAATCTTTCAGCGTCAGATTGATCTGCTCTGTTGACTCCCGTCGCAGCAGGTTCATTCGTCTCGCCAGGGTGCGTGCTACGGTGGATTTTGTTTGCCCTGGGTCGATGAGGGCACGAACAGCATGTACTCGGCCGCTTGCTACCACTCTCACCATCACCGTTGGCGTGAGGACAGACATACCCGTATTGTTTCGAGCGGGTCCCTTGATCCGCTCTCGGGCGTCTCTCACTGCCTGAGGCCGCTTTTGTGGCTTGTTGTTGCGCCTTCTTGGCGAGGCACTTCTTCCTTCTTTCGGTGGGGGTGGCCGCTGGACCACTGACCGGATACCCGACAGAGGTGGTCTGAGTGTCGGGGGGGTTGAAATTTGGTTTGGTTCTGCGGGAACGTCTTCGTCACTGGCATCAATTTCCAGCACCTCCTCGGCACTGCAGTCGTCCAATAGAGGTTGGGCTCTGTACGGGTCGTGTCTTCTGGTAGGCCTACTGTCTACTGCGCTTAAGGCCTGCGGCACGTCTTCCTCGCCTCTGTCGGTTTCCCACAGGTGTAGGAGACTGTGATGCCGCTCTTGACACCGATCGCAGTGCCTCGTCGATGAACAACTGCTGGCCATGTGACGCGGTGACAGGCAGTTGGCACAATGCCGATGAAGGAGGACTGCCCTCAGTCTCTCCGTCGGTTTTAGTCGGCGCAGTTGTCGACAGAAGACCAACCGGTTGTTGTGGTTGCACACAGGGCACCTGTGTTCCCTCACTTGGTTGTTGTTGTTGGCTCGGACCATTTTGAATTTCTCTGAAATTAGATAATTCATTAGTGCACTTTTCGATGGGAAGCATAATCAATTTCACAATTTGACGTGAAATTATGCCTCGTGTCGTACGTATATCTACAACTCTAACTCGACTATCTTGACCTAAGAAAACCCTAACAACTCTGCCAAGTCGCCACTCATTTGGGGGTAAGTTGTCTTCTTTGACAACTACGAAGTCGTCAACCTCTAGATTTCGTTGTGGGAACTGCCACTTGACTCGCTTGTGCAGTTCCTTTAGGTACTCCACCTTCCATCGTTGACAGAACCCTTGGTGAAGCGCCTTTAGCTATTGCCAACGGTTGATTATTGACATCGGGTTTCCGCTGAGTTCTGGTTCAGCGATCGCGAGCAGCGGACTTCCAATTAAAAAATGTCCCGGGGTTAGAGGCTCAAGCGATTCAGGATTATCTGAAATTGGACTTATCGGACGTGAGTTAAGACATGCTTCTATTTTGGCCAGTAAAGTCGAGAATTCCTCTATCGTAAAACGCATCGCATTTGCTACCTTTCGAAAATGGGTTTTGAAGCTCTTCACTCCTGCTTCCCATAGTCCTCCCATGTGAGGAGCTGCTGGTGGTATGAAGTGCCAGTTGACTTCTTGATGAAGATATGATTGCATGGTTAGATGTGAGGCTTCGGTTGTGAATTTTTTAAAGTCATGTCTTAAGGCTTTGTTTGCTCCGACAAAGTTCGTGCCATTGTCCGAGTACACATTACGCGGACAGCCTCGTCTTGCTACAAACCTGGCAAAAGCACCCAAGAATGTTGATGTCAATAGATCGCTAGTTGCCTCTAGGTGTTTTGCCTTTGTAGCAAAGCATACAAAGACGCAAACGTATCCTTTAGTGATGAGACATGCTCGGCCGGTGTAATTTTTAATCTCAAACGGGTCCGTAAAATCCACGCCAGTGTTGGTGAATGGTCTGGATACGTCCGTCCTTTCCGGTGGGAGCGCAGCCATGAGTTGTTCCCGTGTTCTTTTTCTGTAAATTATGCAAACTTTGCACTAATTAATTTCGGTTTTCATTAAATTTTTTAACCGTACTATCCAATATTCTGACCTCATAAGTCTCAGCATGAGTTGATTTCCTCCATGTAATGAAATCAAGTGTGAGAACTTTACCAGAAGTCGCGAAAATTGGCAATTATACGGCAAAATGGTTGGATATCGTTCATTGTATGACAATGACGCTAGCGCTAGTCTTCCACTTACTCTCATCACTCCATTCTTGTCCAGAAATGGATTGAGAGTACGGATGGAGCTCTTAGCGCTTACTGGGTTAGAAGAAGATAATTCACCGTATTCTTCTGGATAACAACGCCTTTGGGTCAACAAGATAAGTTGAGTTTTTACCTCTCGAATTGTCTTTGCTGTAAGTTCCGTAGAATCGTTTCGATTTGTTAGTTTATGCACCGGATGTATTTTCCAATAGAATTGAAAAATTCGTGCAACTACCCTCAGTGCGCGAGAAAAATCGGAGAACCGTTCCAAGATGTCCTCTTTATCTAAAACTCGTGCTGCGTGAGTTCTAACTACTTTTAGTTCCAGTTCAGTTTCCAGTGGATCTGACCGTCTCTGAGGCCACTCAGAAGGCTGCTCCTTCAACCAGCTCGGACCGTGCCACCAAAGAGTGCTCTCCGCGAGTTCTTGGGGAGAAACGCCGCGACTACCAAGATCTGCTGGATTGTTCTTTGAATCCACGTGATTCCAGTCATTCGATCCGACAAGTTCTGCAGCCATGAGAGCACAATGGTGGAGTCTGTCCATTTGCAGACCACTGGTTGAGCAACATCGAGCTGTGGAAGTAAAGAGCTGATTAATTCTGCTAAAAGTAGTGCCCCACATAACTCTAATCGTGGTAAAGATATTGTTTTTACTGGCGCTACTTTGGTCTTACTTACCAGCAGATTTACACTTGGAACGATATTTGAATTTCGTTCCCGAACTCTTACATACAGCGCAGCAGCATAGGCCTTCTCAGAGGCATCACAAAAACCATGAAATTCAACTTCGTTCCATGGGGTGTACCTAATCCACCTTGGAATTCCGATTTTCGAAATATTCACGTAATTTTTCAGAAAATTTTCCCATCTCAAGTAAATACCCCTTGGTAAGTTGTCATCCCAGTCAATCTTCGTTAGCCAAATATCTTGCATTAGGATTTTCGCCTCGATCACGATTGGGCTCAGCCAACCTGCAGGGTCGAACAGTTTAGCTACACACGATAATACCTCTCTCTTGGTGTAGCTTGGATTTATGTACATCTCCTGAACGTTGAAATGGAACCTGTCTTGAATGGCATTCCATCTAATACCCAACATCCTTGCCTCGCTTAAGTCGTCAATCTGCAAGAAATCTTCCTTGAGAAGATGCTCCTTTGGTACGTCGGCTAAAATTTCTTTGGAGTTTGAGGTCCACTTCCGTAGGGGGAATCCTGCCTCTTTGAGAGCCTCGATCAATTCGATCCGTGTGTGAATGGCGGTCTCGCAGTCGTGTGCACCAGCAAGGACGTCATCAACATACATATGTTGCTTTAAAACCTTGGATGCTAGAGGGTACTTCAAGCTAATATCTTCTGCCAACTGAAGTAGCGTCCTTATCGCAAGGTATGGGGCACAGTTGACTCCGAAAGTCACGGTTTGTAGCTCATAATCCATTAATTCCTCTTCCACTGATTCCCTAAATAATATCCTATGAAACCTAGTGTCCTTGGGATGCAGCAAGATTTGCCGATACATCTTTTCAATATCAGCGTTGAATACATATTTGAAAAATCTCCATTTCAATATCAACGCGATAAGGTCCGCTTGAAGAACTGGACCAGGATGAAGTACATCATTTAAACTTACCCCATTGGATGTAGGGTTTGATGCATTAAACACTACGCGGAGCTTTGTCGTAGTGCTATCTGGTTTTACCACTGCATGATGCGGCAAGTAATAGGATCCTGGACCTTTGTTTCCAGATGTGCTGTCCACTAGTTTCATATGGCCGAGAGTTATATATTCTCGGAGTACCCGATGGTATTCTGCCTTAAGTTCCGGCTTTCGCATCATAGCTGCCTCGTTTCTCAAGAACTGCTGCATTGCACCGGTCCTCGAATATCCAAGATTTATGTCGACTGGGAATTCATGCCGAAATGGGAGTCTCACCATATATTTTCCTTGTCCGGTCCTCGTTGTTGTACTCACATACCGGCGCTCGCAGACTGCTTCCTCAAGAGTGATCTGTTTTTTACTTGGGACTTGTTCTAGCTCCCAAAACCGAGTGAGCTCAGAGCTCGAAATTTCGGTGTACATCGAGACGTATGATTTTGTAATCATATTGGGGGTTTGAGGTATTGGACCTGTTAAGATCCAACCAAAGACTGTCTCCTGTGCCAGAAGGGAACCTAAAACGTTCTTCTTAACGTTTCCTATCATTATTTGCGGGTACAAATCCGCACCAATTACCACGTCTACCTGCTGACTTTTATTAAAGTTGACATCGGCTAAATTAATTGGGGGCAGTAGACCAAAATCCATTTGGTCCACTGTAAACTGGGGGAGGTTTCCTGTCAATTAGAATCAGGCCTCTTGCCTCAATTCTAATCTGGGGGTTGACAGGAGACCCTATAACAAACTGTGCGACTTCTCGCACCTTAGCCGATGTCGACGCATTAATACCGCATATCTGCATGTCAGCAGGCTGTGTTGGCAGTTTGATACGTCGTTCCAATCGCTCCGTTATGAATGTGCCTTCTGTTCCCGAATCAAGAAGAGCCCTTGCCTCATATTTCACTCCTGAGTAACAGATATGTACCATAGCAGTACCTAGTATCATATTTTTCGCGTTTCTTGAAAAAAGTGCGTTCACGTTCCTAGATGTGGTTGGGGGTTGAGCAGGCCTGGCCTCCGTATTTCATACATAAATTGTATTTTCTAGCCACTTTGACGCGATCGTCTACTTTCATGGCGCACGCTTTTAGCACATGCACTTCCTGTGGGCAGAGTCTGCAAGTAGGCTGTGGAAATTGAGTATGATGAGCAGCTACCTTCTTTTCATATGATGGGGCTGGACCACGATTTTGCATTGTCCTCGACACTCTTGTGCTTTGAATGTCTGAAACCGTTTCCAGCGTCTGAAACCTGTTGGTTAAAAAGTTATCCAGTTCCTCCCATATCGGGATTTCGGTTTTGTGGACGATTCCTTGCTCCCATAAGGCTAATGTGGTGTCCGGCAACCTACTAGAGACTAGAAAGACAAATATTGCATCCCAGTTGCTTATCTCAATTCCATACATCTGGAGCACTGAGATGCAATTATTCACTGCTCGTTGTAAATTTTTTATTTCCGCGCCTCGTTCGACAGTAACAGTTGGTAAGTTGAACAACGTTTTCAACTGACTGTTTACCATCACTCTTTTGTTTTCGTAGCGTTCCGACAAATTCTGCCACGCGGTTATAAACCCATCATTGGTCAATGGGGATTTCTTCACGATGTCCTTTGCTTCCCCACGAGTCTTATGGTTTAGGTGATATAATTTTTCAACCGGAGTTAGTCGAGAATTATTTACGTATATTGCTGTGAACAAATCGCGGAAAGATGGCCATGCCATGTAGTCACCATAAAAAATTTCGGTGTCACATGGAGGGAGATTAACACTCGAGCGGGAGATCGGTTCAGGTTCCCGCGCTGAAGGATTAACCGTTGATGAGCTTTGCTGCACGAAGGTCAAGTTGTGCATTGTTTCACCCATCAGTGCCGCACATGTCAGGTATGCTGCGTAGCAATCCTGATACCTGGTCTTAGCCGACCGCATGGCTATGCTACCTGCTTCGTCGGCAGATAAGTTTCGCGAGTAGCCATCAAATGACTCCTTGACTTTTAACCACAGCGCTTTCAATTCTTCCTTCTGAATTTCAAGAGAGAAAACTGAGTGATTTGCACTTGGAGTGTTGTTATACAACTCTTCGAACTCTAGCAGTGCATCACAGGCGCGTGAGAAGTCATTAGCGGGAGTCATTTTCAATAATTACGATTTAAGTAAAAAATTTAGTTATTGCCGATGTTTGAATTCTGATACTGCGTTGTATCAGCCAGTAAAAGAAAATGTTTAAAAATCAACCGGTATCGTATGTACTCGTATAGCACAGATACGCCGCGTATATGGATTTTTGACTAAAAACGTTAAAATCTCTGAGAATTTCAGAAACAAGTTTGTCGAGGGCTCAACCGATCGTCGGTGCTCGAATAGCACAGATACGTCGCGTATATATATTTTTAATAAAACAGTAGAATGTCTGAGAGTTCACGTATGAATTCAAACTCTCAAACTTTCAAAAGCAATTTAAAAAGTTACTGGAGACCAGATCACTTACCCTTAGTTGGGCCTCACTGCTTGGCAAGCAGTATCTGGAGGCCTTGTTGCGCAGTTTGGTCTTTGGTAGTGGCACTACTGCGAAGTGTTGGGCGTAATTGCCTTCCCGCTTACCACTAACCTTTGATGGTTGCTTTGCTGCTTGCCGCGTTCACCGCGCTGTTGCCACTTACACTTGCACTAACCAATTTTTGTCATTTGATTTTTATTTTATTTTAATAATCTATTTTTCGCTTTTTAATGCTTTATTTTTTATTTTACTTTTTATTTTCTTTTTAAGGCCTTTTCTTTCAATTCACCTTCTTTTTTTTTTTTCACTGTATTTTTCGTTTTAAGGTTTTTTCAATTTACCTTCTATTTCACTTTTAATTGTCGTACTAAGGCTTTTTTAATTTATCTTCTATTTTACTTTTAATTTTCTTTTTTAAGGCCTTTTTTTACCTTCTTTTTTCATTTGTATTTTTCTTTCTAAAGCTTTTTTCAATTTACCTATTTCACTTTTAATTTTCTTTTTTAAGGCCTTTTTTCATTTTAACTTATTTTTTCACTTTTATATTTTTCGTTTTAAAGCCCTTTTTTCTTACCTTCTTTTTTGCACTTAACTTACGTACGATACAAAAGTCTTCTTTCCAACATTTGTATTTTTTCGCCGTTATTTTGCTATCGTTTCTCTTTTTATATGTTAACTAAATGATTTTGGCGGAAATGGTCGCGTTCCGTTCCTTTTCCACTGGACGGCGGGCAGAGTTGTTTTTTACAGCTTGCAGATCGCGCCACTTGGCAAGAATTTTAAGTGAAGAAATATCCCAATGAGCGCGCGACTTGGCAATGTGACGAAGTTCTATATTTGATTATCCTTTTGTGAAGATGGTATTTTCACAAAAGTATAATCTAAATATAGATACTTTTTCAATTCTTTTGTGCACTCACAAAAGATATGCCTTCCTGATGGATCCGGCTCGAAGGACCATGTTTCGTATCGGGGCTAATTAGGGGCCGGAATTCCTCTTGATTTCCGGCAACGGGGATCGGGGGAGGTGCCGGTCCTTCAGGAAGCTGAAAACCTATCTAAATGCCTGTCGCCAAGCTCTCAATAAAACATTGGTTTATTAAATCAAATTTTAAAAAGTTTTATTTAAAAATGTATATATGTATGCAAAACCTACATAACAAATACTCTCACCTGAGATGTTGCTGCTGTGGCTGCTGGATCAAAAGAAGGGCTTCAGGCCGGCAACATTGGCCTTTTAAAGATTTCCACAAAAGGTGGAAAACCTAAACGGGACTAACTGGACTAACTGGACTTTTCCCATATATTTGAAGAGTCACTTAGTCGAGAACAGAAGACAGAAGACAGCAGCGACATCTACAGGTAGAGGCTATGGCTGCTGCTCAGGGTTGCACGCGTAAACACTCATATTGCCCAGCAAGCAAGCAACGTGCTAAAATTCTAAAACTTAAGAATAATTGATGTTTTGTAGCCAACACATATATATATATATATATATGTATGTATACAAAAATGTACGTTTGTAATTACACACAAATTATTGTACAATCCCTTTTCCCTTATTTCCTTCATCACCAAGCCGTTCGGTAAAAATTTTGCCAAATGACAGAAATTGATGTTTGTCTAAGCTTGGGGGTACGAGAGAGATGATGTTTAGGCGTAGGGAAGATGATGTTTATTAATACCTTCATAGAGGCTTTTGAATCTTAATGGAGTTCGGGGTGAACTCCACAGGAAAGAAGATAGAGGTGATGCAGGATGATCATTCCATTTGTTACGTGGAACTGGCGTTTTTCAGCAGTTCCTGGTGCTGGTAAACATAAAAGCACGCAATAATGCAAGCTGTCGAATATCATTCATGCACCCTGAGTAAATCATCAAATAGACTCTTTAAGTTTATTGCCTCACTGTTCACCTGAGAATTGCACTTATGCATATTAACAGGCATGGTTTAGCAAATATGTACACACGTGCATGCATATAAGCATAAGTATGAAATGCCGAGAAGCAAAAACTTATGCCTGAAAATATGCTGGGGAAATTGGGCTTAGGATGATTCATGCTTAAACAATGTTGTACACACTTCGAAATGACACACAACCTTAATAACGCCTTCTTTCTTTCACTCTGTCATCCACAAGCAGCTACTTCGCAAAATCGGGAGATGAGTGCTGCTTGCGCAGCTCCTTAAGTAGTAGCCAACAGTCATCTCGAGAAGGGCTTTTTCGCTATTGAGCTACCACCGGCCATTAAAATAATGTTGCCATGGTATTGTTTTTTTTGGCTAAATGTGTACGGTTTTGTTTTTGGGTTAAGGCAGCCCCACAAAAGCTGGAAGGTTGGCAACGCGTCGCCATGCCCCGTTGGATCTTTGATTTAATTTGAAGACATCATTAAAGCAACCATCAAATCGTAATTCCCAGCCATCAACAGCATTTGCATATTACATTGTAAGAGTTTTAAATGCCAATAATTATCAGTTTTCCTTATCCTCATAAGGATGCCTAATAGCCTATTTCCACCGGACGTTAAATGCATTTTAGCTTAAATGTATTTAAACATCGCATTTAAATGCGGTAATTCCCATGTGTTTGTTGTTGTATAAAAGTGTGTTAACTCACTTTTCAAAGTGAGTTAACTCACTTTCGGCAATTTAACAGAAAATGTTATGTTAACATTCGATGCTGTCACTAATAATGTAATCATTTCGGAAGTTTCGGTGTACTTCTTGCCAGAGTCGTGTATTTTCGGATTTAATGAGGGGCGAGATTTTTATTTTGCATGGTGAAATTTTTTGTATAAAAATTCCTTTTTTGCATTAGTTTTAACATAAATGCCTATATTAAGTAATTGGCGAAGAGAATGCTTCTCCGCCTTTAAAAAAAAACTATAAGAAACAAACAAAAAACAATTGTGAAATATCAAACGATCCCCTCAACATAAAAATATACGTGGCTCTGGTAGCTATCAGCTGATTGTGCAAAAAAAATAATTTGAGGGAACAAACAAACAAATATGAAAATGGAAACATGCATAAAAGCATTTTCGTTTCAGCAACGTTTGTCCGTGCAGAAATAATCTGCACTTGCAAGTCTTAAGATTGCAGAAATAGCCAAATAAAATGAATGTGGTCTCTTGAATTCATGATTTCTATAGTTGTGGCAAATTTTGTAAACTGCAAAT